AGCTGAATCTAAAAAACAAAAACAAAAAACTGAAAAGATTTTGTGTTAGATGATTTTTAAAATTTTATTGAATTTTTGCAATTTTCATAAGATATATTTTGATGGTATTTAAGTCCCCTCCCCTATTCACACATCCCCTTACTGCCCCCACCTAATTTAATGTACTCTATTATATCTTTAATAAGGCCTGTAGAGTCTAATTTGTGTCCCCAAATGTCCTGCAGTATGGGTCCATCCACTGGAGCCTTAGTTAACTTACTAAGAGTCCCATCCTTGAAAGAGATTAATTCTCCCACTCCCAGCATCCATTGGTTGCTAATAGTTCCTCAAGTTGAGTTGAGGTTTCTTACCCACTTCCCCACATCTATGCTAGAATTTTGTCTGTTTGGGGCTTGCGTGGGACTTGTGCACGCTGTCACCATTGCTGTGAGTTCATATGAGTAACTGACCAGCTGTCTGGAAAACTATTTCCTTATGGTCATCCACCACCTCTGGCTCTTGGAATCTTCCTGCTCCCTCTTCCTCAATGACCCCTGAGCCTTGGGAAGCAGAAGTTTGATATAGTTGTCCTATTCAGGGATAAACACTCTGCAACTGCTTATTCTCTGCACATTGGCCAGTTGTGGGTCTCTGTTAATCACCATCTGCTGCATAAGGAAGTGTCTCTGCTGAGAGTTGAGAGATGCATTCATCCTGCTAAGTCTGAAGGGACCTGCAGATCCTGGCTGGAAAGGAGCCCTGCCACCCAATGAAGCCCTGAGTGTTAAGACGGCAGGGCCCCAGGAATTCTCTGTGCTAGATGATTTTTTTCCCCAACAGTAGGCTGCCTTAGGCATTTGGCATCCCAGCTCTCCCAGGTGTGGCTGGAGTGGAGAAGGCAGACTGAGCAGCCTGCCTGATGAAAAATTGTTCCTTTGGGATGGGATCTGATTTGGCTGGAGAAGACCTGTGACTTTGACTCCTCATCTGGAGACCGACTCAGGACTAAGTCCTTTCTTCCATGCCTCGATTTCTCCACTTGTCAAATAAGTGCATTATCTTCCCACCCCCAGGCTGAGGAAGAGGCTTGTATGTTTTATTTTTTCATGAGGAAATCTCACCTTCAAAGTGCAATGTTTTTATTACAGACATTTATGAAAACAATAGTAGCAGGCAGCGATTGGCTTAATTACGATAATTGAGGAGAGAGTGAGTGGGTCAAGGAGAACCTGCTTATTTACCACATCCCCAAAGATTTCAGTCTTCTCCCGCCCTCCCTGTTCCCCAGAGCTGGTACATAAACCTCCCTGACACTAGTTCACCCAAGTCATAAAATAAAAACAATTTTAAAAGCTTCAATGGCAGCTTCTATTTGCCCAAAACGTGGATTATATAAGGTTTGACAAGATCAGTTTCCAACGTGCTGAAGATGGAGCTAAACTTAGACTGTAATGGTCCTTGGGTCATTCTAATAGCTTGAACTGGGGATGAGGGAGACAGGAGGTATGGACTAGCAGGGAAGCTGAGGGGTTAGGACCGGGCAGGCACAGCCTGTGTTCAGCTTGTCAGCACTGTCAAAGGCTGAGTGGTCAGGTGCCTCCCTCCTGAACTCTGTGGTATGTGTTGGTCTAGGCCCCAACCTGCTTCTACTGACTGGGTACCAGGACACCCCTAGGACACCCCCCAGTCCGCTCCTATTGCAGCCTTGATCTTCCTCTCTGAATCACCCTTTAATGAGGTCCCATTTCCAGTCTGCACCCCGTTATTAAGTGGACCATTCCTTCTATGACTGTGCACTATCGTCCTCCAACTCTGAGAAAACTGTGGGGGAGACAGAAAAGTGATGACTCCACTGCCAGCTCAGTCATGACTCAAACTTGTAAGTACCCTCTTTACCAGTAACCCCATCAAGGCAGACCACCTGCCCACCAACCAGTATTCAACTGTTGTTGCCCTGGTCTGAGCTGGGCTCCTCCAGGGAAACTCACAAACTTCTATTACTTTCTTTATTATTTATTTATTTATTTATTTATTTATTTATTTATTTATTTATTTATTTTTAAAGGCAGAATCTTATGTAGCCCAGGCTGACTTCAAATGCTATGTAGCCAAGGATAACCTCAAGCTCTTTATCCTCCTTCCTCCACACCCAAGTGCTTCAATTACAGGTATGCACTACCACACCTAGTTTTATGTGGTGGCACACATGGAACCCAGGGCTTTGTGCATATTAGGCAAGTGATCTACCAACTCAGCTACATTCCCAGCCCCTTCTATTGCTTCTTTAATCACAAGTAACACAGGTTCAATGCACAGAATTGAAGATGCACGGAGGAGCAGAGGAGAATTAAAAACTGCCCACGATGGGGTGGAAAGAATGCTCAGTTGTTTAAAAGTGTTTGCTATGTCCAGCACCAACATTTTAGAAAGCCTGCTGTGACCATTGAGATAGCTCAGTGGGTAAAGGCACTCACCACCTAGTCTGATAACCTGAGTTTGATCCCAGGGACCCACATGGTATAAAGGGAGAACTGACTTCTGCACATTGATCTCTGTTCTCCATAAAATAAAAATTATAAAATGAATTAATAAAATAATAAATAAAATATTTTTAAATAAAAATAAATGAACACTGGGTCTGAAAACTATAATCCTAGCACTCCTAAGGCAAGATGGGAGGCACAGACTAATTACCTGGAGTTAGAGACCCTGCCTCAACAAGGGGGAAGGAGAGAACTAAATTCTGAAAGTGATCCTCTGCCCTCCACACAATTTGCCTTGGCCTTTTTTGTGCCGGCACTCACATAAACTAATTAATTTTCTCACTGGGTAGCTCTGACTAGCCCATAATTCACTATGTAGACCAGGGTGACCTCAGACTCACAGAGATTTGCCTGCCTCTGTGCTAGGATTAAAGGTGTGCATCACTACACCTGGCCTAATTAATTGTTAAGAATATTTAATTTATTATTTTTATTTTGTGTATATGAGTGTATATCACCTGCATGTAGTAAGTGCCCCCGTGTCATGCAATACCATCAGAAGTCAGAAGAGGGTGTCAGATTCCCCTGGAACTGGAGTTATGACCAGTTGTCAGCTGCCATGTGGGTGTTGAGAACTGAACCCAGGTCCTCTACAAGAGCAGCTAGTGCTCTTAAACACTGAGCCATCTCTCCCTAATTAAGTTTTCTTTTTAAAGTTAGTTTTAAGTTTTTATTTATTATATTATGTGCATGAGTGTATTGCCTGCGTGTATGTAAGTGCACCCGTGCCATGCAATGCCCACGGAGGTCAGAAGAACCTGAAACTGGAGTTACTGGTGATTGTTAGCTGCCATGTGGGTGCTGGGAATCGAACCCAGGTTCTCTGCAATAGCAGCCAGTGCTCTCAACTGCTGAGCCATCTCTCCAATCCCTAAAATTATTTTTAAGATTTTATTCTTATTTTATGTGTTTTGCCTGCATGTATGTATGTGCAGTGTCTGTAGAGGCCAGAAGAGGGCGTCAGGTCCCCTGGAACTGGAGTTGTTATACCCCATGTGGATTCTGGGAAGCTCACCCCGTCCTCTGCAAGAGCAGCCAATGCTCTTAATTGCTGAGCATCCCTCCAGCCCTGGCCTAATTAATTTTTAAAAAGTAATTAATAAAATGATTTTAAATTAATTAAAAAATAGAAATGGTCCATCCTTCTACTGGGGAAGATCCGTGTTGAGTGCCTTTATGCCACATATTGCTCTGCGATGGCTTTTTGTGTTTAATACGTGGTAAGGATCTTTCAGGTCAAAAGGGACGTTTTTTTTCGATGGCTGCCCAGAGGGTCCTCCTGTAATATGTTTTCCTCTCCATTTCCTCTGTAGTGGCTTTCCAGGTGGTTTCTGGTGGGTGAACAATACCACCAAGAATCCTCCATCCGTCCAGCAGTATTTCCCCACCAGGTTTACCTGCTCAGCTAAGCGAACTTACTGGATCATGAGGATTCAGCCTTTAATGACAGACCCGCAGGGACACATCTCCAGGCATAGCCCTCCATCCATCCAGCAGTATTTCCCCACCACCTGCTCAGCTAAGCGAACTTACTGGATCAGGAGGATTCAGCCTTTAATGACAGACCCGCAGGGACACATCTCCAGGCATAGCCTCCATCCATTCCTTCAGCTAATAGCAGGGAGGCCTGGCTGAGCCAAAGGGCATTCCCTCTAGTCTCGGGGGCGGGGGCGGGGGAGGGCTATGAATGCTCTACATTGGCCTGGTAGAGGTCATCTACCTGGTCACCTCCAGGATCCCTGGGGACAGAGCAGGCCGCAGAGACAGCAAAGGGAGCCAAGCTGGTTCCTGGGCTTTGGGTAGTCTTAGGACTCCTTGGGCCAGTTTCTCTAGACAGCCATGTTTAACCAGCCCTTAGGTTGGGCTGCTGGGGTTGGGTGTGATAAATTCTGTTTTAAATTGGGCCACCCTAGATAACCCAGAGGCTCTGAGATGCCCCCGGACTGGCTCCGAGGCAGCCTCGGCCCAGCGTGTGGGGAGGGGAGAGACGGTGCGAGCTTCATTCAGACCGCCAAGGGCGTCCCGGCCAGCCCTGCCCCCTCCTTCGGCCTCCGCCCCTGCCCTTCCTACGCTCCCGGCGTGCGACCAGGTAGCTCCGGAGCCCAAACCTGTTGGGCCGGTTTTGAGAGCCACCGGGACCGAGGGAGGAAGGCTGCTGAAGGATGCACGGCCTGGGCTGTGCTGGCCCGCACCATCAGCTGCCGGAGCCCGTCCTGCCCACTCGCCCGACCCCATGAAGCGGGCGTCGGGTCTCGTGGCACCTCTGCTGGGCCTGGGGCTGGCCCTGAGCCTGCCCTGCTCGGGGGCCACCGACTGCGGGTCCTTCGGACAAGCCGAGCACCTGGCATTCGCCCCGGTGGCCAGGACCCGATGGCTGGCCCCTCGCATCTGCCAGCCGGGGCCCCTAGACCCCCTCTACGGCACTGTACGACGATTCCTCTCTGTGGTGCAGCTCAATTCCTTCCCATCGGGTGAGTGTCCCCCCTCCCAGCGGATCTCAGCAAGGACTGGGTCCCCAGGCGGCCTCTGTGCCCACTACTTCACACCATGCAAAGTCCCTGGCATTCCCCAGGCACTAAGGATGCCTGGAGCAGCTCTGAAATCTTCTTGTGTGACCTTGGACCAGTCATTTTTCCTACCTAAGTGGAGGTCCTGTAAAGCAGAGGACCCTCTTGGGAAGAGTTTATTTTAGATCTGGCTCATTGCCCCAAGTGTCACAGTGCCAGGGGTTCAGAGGGCCGTGAAAGGCCAGGACTGGGGAAGGACTGCTGTGCCAGGCTGCAGGGCCTACCTGGAGGGTCCAGGAGGTCTGCTTTGCAGGCCTTATGCCAGCTTCAGGTTGTTGCATGGCCACATGACACAGCCTTCCTTGGCCTGGCAGTGGGGAGAAGGTGGACACAGTGACAGGACAGTGGTTGCCCCCAAACCCTCGGCTTGCTTCCTTCCTGTAGAGTTGGTGAAGGCCCTGCTGAATGAGCCATCCTCTGTGAAGATGGACCAGGTAAGAACTGTGGAGCAGGTGATGGGGGAGGGAGTTTGGGGTGAACAGGAAGGGCCTCCACCTGGTGCTCAGCTCAGCCCACCTTGCTGAGCATTTTCCAGAGTGGTGGTCTTAAGCATCTTTTCCCCCACTTCTGCCCCAGATCTCCTGTTTTACTCTTGGTGGGGTTTGACCCTGACCTCCCTGGCTTTGCGTTTTCATCATCTGTACAGAGATAATTAGCAAGAACACCAAGCACCTCTTGTGTTCACCTGCATGGGTTCACCAAGATATTGGCAAAGAGCCCACCGAGAAGGCATTCCCTATCCTTCTGGTTCCCCTCTGGGCTCCAGGAAAGCTGGGGCTGGAAGTGAGTGTCAGGACTCATGCCTTTCCACCCTGCCCAGGTGGTGCGGTATGAGGCAGGCTACGTGGTGTGTGCTGTGATCGCAGGCCTCTACCTCCTGGCCGTGCCAACCACTGGGCTCTGTTTCTGCTGTTGCCGCTGCCGCCGGCGCTGTGGGGGCCGAGTGAAGACTGAGCACAAGGCCCTGGCCTGTGAGCGCGGCACCCTCATGGCCTTCCTGTTGCTGACCACCCTCGTACTCCTGTGAGGGGCTGCCTAGGTCAGGAGGGAGGTCGGGGCTATGGCCCTGGGCTGTGAGCACACTGCAAACCCCTCCATCCCTGCAGGGTTGGCATGGTCTGTGCTTTCATTACCAACCAGCACACGCATAGGCAGACAGGCCCCAGTGTGGAAGCTGTGCCTGAGACCCTGCTCAGCCTAAGAGGCCTGGTCTCTGATGTCCCTAAAGTGAGTACCTGGTGATCCCTTTATCCTTAGGGGAGCACCAGCTTAGGTAGACACAGCAGGGTGGGTCTCTGAAGCCCCAAAGCCTGCAAAGCAGTGGGGTGTCCCTGTTTGCACTTGGCTGCCTCCTGATGGAGAGTAGCTGAAATGTCTCACTGGAGGAATGGGCTGCTGAGGGATCGGGCAGGATGGCTCACACTGTTGTTTGTCTAGGAGCTGCAGGCCGTGGCTGAGCAGTTCTCTCTGCCCCAGGAGCGAGTCTCGAAGGAGCTGGATGGTGAGGGTTACATTTGGCCAGCTCCAGGGCCCCTGCCCTGGTCTGCCTCTGGGGACCTCTCAGCTCCCTTACCCTGGACTCTACCTGGGTACCACTTCCTTAAGGGATCTGCCTGTGTAGTAGCCATACTTCTGCAGGATGAGGAAGCTGGCAGCTCCCTGCAGAAGCCAGAACTCCTGGGAGGCTATGGGCCGGGGATGTCCTCAGCTCCTAGAGGTTGGGGCCAGCTCTGCCAAATACCCTGTGTTGTCCATCCAGGTGTTGGTGAGAGCCTTGGGAACACGATTCACAGCCAGCTCAAGAGCACAGTATACCTGGTGCTAGCCTCAGTGCACAGCTTAGGCCAGGGTGAGTTGGATCAATGCCCTGCATGTGGGTGGGTCCAGCAGGTGTCCTCCAGGGGCTGATTTCCCCCCATCCCCCATGCCTGGATATCATGTGCTACCCCAGTCCCACCCATGTTTCCCCCCCCCCCATTATCCTGGGATCCTGTGTGTGGCATCGCTGTCTACTTCCTTACCTCGTGTGCCTAGGGGCAGTTTCCATTGGGGCTATAGAGGTTTGTGACTACTGGTTCCTTTAGCCAAGAAGAGGGAGTGTGCTGCCTCTTTTTGCAAGGCTGCTGAGGACATCAGGAAATGAGGAGACCCCTCTCAGACCACCTGTGGCTCTCTTAGGCCTGCAGGACTCTATGGATCACCTTCGAATCCTGAATGCCACCTCAGTGGAGCTGCAGGAGGGACAGCAGCGCCTGGAGCCACCTTTGCAGGCACACCGGGATCGCCTGCGCACCCTGCTTCAGGAGAGCGGGTGCCATGGGGACTGCAAGGGGGCCCTGAGCCAGGCTGATGCACTGGAGCTGGGTGCCGATTTCAGCCAGGTGCAGGCCCAGAACAAGGCCTCTTGGGACTCAAAAGAGCTGTTCTGCCTCCTATCCCCCCAGGACTCTCCCAGCATTCTAGTGATCAGAGAGGTTTCCTGAGGTTGACTACCCCAGGAACCCCCTCTTTGGGCTGTGCCTGACTTTCTGGAGTACCAGGGTTCATGACCTTTCATCCTGGCAGTGTGCCAAAAGGTCTCCATGGATCACAAACTGAGCCTTGACTTTCATGTTGTAGCTTCTTGTGTTCTTGTTGTCCCCCAGGGCAATAGTGGGCGCTGTGGTCCCGACTTTATACGTGAGGATGCTAAGGGCTCAGAGGCACCTGCCTCCTTCCTTCCATAGGAGTCCTTCTCAGGTCTCTTCATAGGCACCCCTATTTCAGGTGCCCCCTGTGAATGATGTCCTGCATCGACTGAAGGGTGTCCCAGAGGCCAACTTCTCCAGCATGGTCCAGGAGGTAAGTGCCTAACTGGGTCACCTGGTTCTTCCTCCACCCGAGGAACACAAGGGAAGGGCCCCAAGTTTTGCTCTTTGGAGCAGGAACACACTTGAACCTAAGACTTGAGTCCACCCTTGTCCTGCGACAACCTGGGCTAGAAGTTTACTGTGCCAGGCTCCCACTGCACAGATGACAGAAGCAAGCTTAAGAGTTCAGAAAGAGGAATTGGGCCCCCCAAAAGGGTGGGGGCTGCAGGCAGTAAGGGAGCAGGTGTTTCATCTGCACCCCGGAGGGAAGCTGGCTCTCCTAGGTGGAGACAGCCAAGGGGGAAGGTGCCATATGAATCAGAGCCTGTGACCCAGAGCCTGGAATTGGGGCGTCAGTGACTCAGCTGTGCTGGGTGGCTGAAGTCAAAGGCTCTGGCAAGAAGGAAGTGAGAGCTGAGGCGGAATGGAAGGTTGGAGCTGGACTAAAGGAATAGAGCAGGCGGTCAGGGTGGAATGGGTGGAATAGGTGAGAGGATGAAGGCTGCTGTTATCTAGGAAGGATCTGCAGGGTGCTGTGTTGGGGAGAATCCAGTCAGGCAGGGGAAACCAAGTTTGCAAGATCCAGAGGAGAACTGCATCCTACAATGGGAGCATTTAATGGCAGCATCCTCCCTCTGGGTCTAGTGACTTTGGTACTCCAAGGTAGAGCCCCAGGCAGAGCAGGAGGCACAGCTTTGCTTGGTTCTGCAGGAGAACAACACTTTCAACAACCTTCCACTCCTGGTTGCAGTGCAAACGACCAGTGTGGTCAAAGGTGAGGCCCTGCTCATGAGCATGGCTGGCTGCCCAGCATGCCAGCCCCACTACACCTCTTCCAGGAAGGCTTGCTGAGGGAAGAGGTGGGCAGAGGTGGGATGGCTATCCTCCCTGGCCGGTGGGCCCTCTGTGGGTTCCAGAGATTCGATCCTGGCTTCTGGGTGCCCTCTGTATCCCCTAAGCCCCTATGACTTTGGGCAGATCTGAAGAAGGCACTGGTTGAACAGCCTGAAGGTGTGAAGATGCTGGCCCAAGGGTTCCCGGGCTCAGAGGCAGCTTCCCACTGGAGCCAGGCACTAGAGAAGCTGGACCAGTACAGCCGCCCCTACCTGCAGAAGGTGCAGCAATATGAGATGTACAGGTGCATGGAGTCCTGAACCCCTTCTTAACCCCCTTCACACTTAGCATGACTGTACCCCTGCCTCCTTTTAAGTCGAGACCCCTAACTCCTAAGGCTTCCATGTCTCACTCACCTGGTTGTGTACCCCAGAATCTGAGCCTGGGATCTGTGTGGAAGCCTCAAGAAATGTCTGCACCTGTACTTCTAGTGGTCCAGCCTGGAACTTAGAGGCCCACCAGCCATAGGTCCCAAGCCAGCCCTCCGGCGCCAGCTGCCTCCCTTTTCAGCAAGCCCTGCCCTTTCTTTGTGACAGGTGGATTGTGGGATGTGTGCTGTGCTCTACTGTCCTGCTCGTGGTGATCTGTAACCTTCTGGGCCTTAGCCTGGGCATCTGGGGGCTGTCTGCCAGGGAGGATCCCAGTCACTCAGAAATCAAGGGTGAAGCTGGAGCTCGCTTCCTCATGGTGTAAGAAGGGGCTGGGGAGGGGAAAGGGTCCTCCTTGCCAGGTGGCCAGATTCTTCCAGGAGCAGAGTCCTGGGAATCAGGGGAATGAACCTTAGTGCTGGCCTGGCCTCCACTTCTGTGTGGCCCTGGGCAAATCAGTGACCTCTCTGAGCACTCAGTTTCCTTATCTATATAAGGGTGTTGGATAAAGCAGGAATGATTACAGTAGTACTCAGTGGGTACTCTTTCCCACCAAGTCCAGACAGCTTCAGAATCTTTCTTAACCCAGCCAAAACCTACAGGAGGTGACAGCAGAGGTAGAATCTGCTTGCTATCCCTAAACTAGATGGCCTTTAAGGCCAGGGCTGCCACATGGGCCAAGCTGTTCATTACACATGGTGCCTGGTCAAAGCAGTGAGTAGGAGCTGAAATCCACCTCACGTTTTACCCTCCAAGCCTCATGGCCTGGCACGGGACTGTGCCCATCACCTCACAAGGGAGTCTTACAAGTCAGGAGCACCTGGTAAGGGTCCTTACTACTCAGCCACATTGTGGGGCTATGCATGCAGGTGAGTCATGCTTAGCCATACCAATGACTCTTGAAAGGCCAGACCCTGGAGCAGGTCACCTCCATGGACCCTAAGTCCAAAGTGGTTCTCTGAACAAAGCAGCTGTCCTTCCTCTAGGCTTCTAGGGCCATTCTCAGCAATGGGATGGGGGCGGGGGTGGGAGGAAGGGGAGGAGGGGCTGTCCAGAGTGCTGGGTTCTCCTTCCTTCTCAGGAGGCCTGCCCTGGGACCAACCCACAGCCTACAGGGGCCCAGCCTCCATTGCTTCTTCAACCCTGTCTCTCCCCTCCAGAGGCGTGGCCTTCAGCTTCCTCTTTGCAGCCCCCCTCATCCTCCTCGTCTTCGCCACCTTCCTGGTGGGTGGCAATGTTCAGACGCTGGTGTGCCAGAACTTGGAAAATGGAGAGCTCTATAAGGTGGGCCTGGACCTGCTCTGGCTGAGAGAGCTAGAGTGAGCGTGGGCAGAATGATGGGGTCAGGAGGAAGTGGGAGCCAGAGGGGCAAGTGAAGGGGGGGTAGGAGGAAGGAGGTTAAGATGCAAAGAAAGGGACTGAAAGCCACCAGTAGATGGAAAGAGGGAGAAGAGAGAGAGAGAGACAGACAGAGACACAGACACAGAGACAGAGAAAGACCCTGAGAGTCTCTGAGGTCTCATCAAGGATGGCACCCAGGTACCATCCAGGTGGTGGCGTCCACACAGAGCCCCTCTCCTAACTCTGAGTTTAAGAACAGAATCCCAGAACCCAGTATACTTCTAGTGGAAGGCTGAGATGCTGGCCTAGATAATCTATTGAAGGTCCTGCTGGGCACCTCCCAGAAATTCATGGGAAGAATTCCTGTAAGGAGTCAGGGCCTAGTGCCATTTGAGTTGAGGCAGGTTTGGACTGCAGTCACAGGAGTGACACCACTGCCATCCCCTGGCCTCTCTGTGTTCCGTTTCTTCCTGCCCATCCACAGTTTGCAGATACCCCAGGGAACTTGCCCCCATCCATGAATCTGTCTCACCTTCTTGGCCTGAAGAAGAATGTCAGTGTCCTTCAGGCCTATCGGTGAGTGCAAGGCCTCAGCTAGAGGCTGGGGTAGGGAAAGGAGTGGGGGGAGGGGCAGAGATGGGTGTCCCCTTAGGGTCATATCAGCTCCACCTGCCATACCTGGTGACTCTTTGTTGATGCTCATTCTTCCTCCCCAGGCAGTGCAAGGCAGGGGCAGCACTCTGGGAAGTTTTACAGCTCAATGACTCCTATGACCTAGATAGGCACCTGAATATCAGGCAGGTAAGAGAACATTCCAGAAGACTGTGGGGATTCCCCTGTAGGTCCGTCTTTTCTGTTCTTGATTCTGGGGGCATTATCTCTGAGCTCAGGGCCTGGCCAGGGCTAGAGCTATGGGAAATTCCAAGGGTGTGAGTAGGGATGTGGGACAGCTGGATACCATGGCCAGCTTTGAGCACATGCCCCAGGGAAAGCTGAATACAGTGAAAGTTGTAGGAAGACAGGAGAGTGTCCATAAGAGTGGGGCATGTGTGTCCTGACTGAGGCCAGGTGTCAAGTGGCATGCTCCAGCTGGAAGTGGCCATGGAAGTGATGCCGAGCCAGTTGGATAACACTGGTGGATGGCTCGCTGGGGCCCTTGATTGAGCCCACACAGCCATTGGTGGTAGTGACAGATTCTGGCCCCCAGCCTGGCTCCCAAGTTTCAGCCTGTCCTCCCAGGACTAGATGGGTCACTTGTTGGAGGTTGCCCAAGGGAGTTAGAGTGGAGATTAGAGGCAGTTGCTGCAGAACTGGGGGCATTTGTCAATACTGACAAGAGACAGCTCTAGAAACAGTGAAGAAGAGCCCCTTAACAAGAGGAGGGATACACATGTAGAATGGAGTTCTAAAGATGTGTAGAGGTCTAGAACATGTCCTCTTTCCTCTCTCCATTGCTAAGTGAGGTTGGGAAGAGGTCGCTAGGAAGCCATTTCTAAGCATGCCATGTGAGAGGCCCCTGTCTACCACCTCTGCTGTTCACACAAAGCTAGGTGATTCTACATCCTCCCAAGAAATGACTTGGATTCATTTCCATCCTTAGCCAAACAGACCAGTCCCAACTCTGTGCCCTAAGCCATAGCCAAGGAGGTTGGCTTCATGTCTTCAGACCTTCCTCCTCCAGAGGCTAACCAGAGACAGTGTCCCATGGGTATAAGCTTTGCAGCAGGGTCCTGGCACAGAGAACCCCCACCCCTACCCCCAACCTTGCTTGAAGTCATCTCAGCTTGAAGTAACCTCAGCCTAGGAGAGGAAGGGTCAGCTCATAGAAGAGTATGGATCCATGGGGCTTCAGGTTTAGAGAGACTGGGCAGTTCTTGGAAACTGGCTGGTATTTTCTTAAAAATACTCATCCCCAGAGGAGACAGCATCAAGCTAATTATGCAGAGATCAGAAAGACAAGATGTGCCTTCCAGGAGGTATTGCCTGTTGTACTGTGTCCCATCACCATCAGTGGTGCCTGGAATGCTGCCTCTGAGAGGTTTGGGGATCTGTCTCTCCAGAGGAAGGTGACCTGGTGGGATTAGGAGAGGTAGCCAGAGCTAGTCTACCTTTACTAACTTGCTAGGCCTCTCTTAGCAATGTCACCACCCTCGGACCTCAGTTTCTTGCCTGTAAAACACTAAGGTTAAATGCCATGACTATGACAGGAAAATGCTAAGGGTCTTGGAAATGGGGATGTGTCCATTCATTCATTCATTCATTCAATCAATCATTCATTCACAAGTCTACAAACTTGTACCTCACTTACCACTTGAGAGACTCTGTTGTTGATGGGGGGAGGGTTGGAATTGAATGCTCAAAGGTCTCAATGTTATTGAGCTGATGGACTTAACAAGTTTAGGAATATGTGATTTTAGAGTATCAGGTGCTGTGAAGACTCACACAGAGGATATGATAAAGAGCTGGAAAGCTATTTTATGTCAGGTGGTAAGAGAAGGTCTATGCTGTGGCCCAGGAGCACCAGTCCTGGGATCCTGTCTGGGTGTGTGTTCTGGAGAGCCAGGAGGGCCCTAGAACCAAGTGATCTTTGCCTAAGGGGAGAATCTCTGGGTCCTGGCTCAGCAAATGGGTGTGTCCCATCTTGTCCCCTCCTCCAGTATACCCACAGGCTACAACAGGAACTGCAGAACTTCAAAGTGGACGTTAAGGATCTAGACCTGTTGAGCCCTACTGCCCACCGGGACCTGGAGGCCCTGCAGGGCAGCGGTTTGGAGAAAATCCACTACAGTGACTTCCTGGTACAGGTCAGTGAGGGGGTGCAGTGGGTGCTCCAGTAGGTTGGGGACAGAACAGAAAGGCCATTCTGGATAAGTTCTTCCTTGTCCTAGCCCTCTAGACTTCTGGAACTTTCTTCCTGGAACAGTAGCAGTTGTTGCTGTTCATGGTCCTGAACCTACTGCTGCTAAGAATCCTTGTGGGAGACCACCTTTTCCTTCAGTCACACCAGACAGCATCTTGTTATTTTCTATCCCACTGGAAACTGAAATATTTCATATAGTTGCAAGTCAAACCCACTATGACTGATGTGTCACAGTAGATTTAACTGAGACTAAAGATGTGGCTCAGTTGATAGAGTGCTTGCCAACTGTACACAAAGCCCTGGGTTCGATCCCTAGCAGTGCATAAAACCCGATGTGGTAACACATGCCTATAATCCCAGCACTTGGAAGGTGGAGGCAGGAGGATCAGGAGTTCAAGGCCATCCTCAGCTAAATAGTAAGTTTGAGTCCAGGCTAGGATGCATGAAACAGAGAGAGAGAGAGAGAGAGAGAGAGAGAGAGAGAGAGAGAGAAACAACAGACTTAGCTGGTGCAGGGAACATTTGACAAGTGTGGGAATTTGGAGGCTGGAAATTCGAGGACATCTGTGTTCATCCTTGGCCTCTCTTGTCTTCCTTCAGATCCAGAAGCCTGTGGTGAAGACTGACATGGAGCAGCTGGCCCAGGAGCTGGAAGGACTGGCCCAGGCCCAAGTGAGAAGGGAGCAGAGACCCCTCTGGCCAGACAGCAGTCAGAAGGAGACCCAGGCAGGGAGCCTAGGAGTGCTGGGGTTGGAGCAGGGGCAAGGACAGAGGCAGGGGACACAGGGCCCCACCAGTGAGTGCTGAACCTCTTCCACCTGCTGCCGGGCTTGAGGGGTTTGCCGCCTCAGTTCCGACTTGAGCTCTGCTGCCAATTTGTTGTATGGCTTTGGGCAAGCCATTCAACATCTCCAGACCTCTGTCTCTTCATCTGTAAAGTGGATTGTCTCAATCTCAGATCAGATGAAGTAGCTGGCCTAACATCATATAGCTGGGCAAGCTTTTCTACGTGTACCAGTTTCAGAATCTTCTTGGACCAGTGCTATGTGGATACATCGATGGACAGCTGCCCTCAGCAGAAGAAATCACACTGTATATACAGATACTTAGTTTAGGAAGTTCTCTTTACAACATCTGAGACTCCACAGCTGTCTTGACCCAGGATAGAGCAAAGAGTATGGCCACTTTCAGCAGAAGTTATTCTGGCTTGTGTGATGCTGGAGATGATTTAGGAGTACCCAGTAAGCTCAGAGTAGACCTAGAACTTGGCTTTAGCTCCATGTAGCCCGGGGGAAACCTGGAGTTTAAGGGGGGACCTTAGTTTTCTACCTCGAGCCCAACACTTTGCACTTCTCTTTAGTATATCCCCTTGAAGGGCTGTTCTCTCCTGTTGGGGTGGGAACCATTCTGATCCATGTCTGCCCTCAGAACAACTCTTTACTGGAACAGCAGCTGAAGGATGAGGCCAAAGGACTCCGAAAACTCTACCAGGAGAAGGTTGTCCCCCAGCAGAGCCTTGTGGTAAGTATGCAGAGAGCCTAGGTCCTGGGGGAAAGGAGGGATGGAGAAAGGGCAGTAAAAGGAGGAAGGAGCCAGCAACATCCTCCACTTCCTGCTTCTGCATCCTTGTTCCTAACAACCCTGATTTCTCCTCCACAGGCCAAGCTCAACCTCAGTGTTAGGGCCCTGGAGTCCTTTGCCCCAAAACTACAGGTATCTTAACAGGAGGGCAAGGGTGGGGCAGAACAGGTGGCCAGGAGAGGGAGAAAGGATAGCTGGTTTGAGAGAGAGGTGTAACGAGAAGAAGATAGAGGAGGGGGAGGGGCAGATCATTAAGGACCACTTGACCTCTGGGTCCTCAGGGCTTGCCCCTCCATTAAGGTGATATATGATACATTGTATATGGTATATGGATATATGAAGATTGGTGGGTGGGTGGATAGATAGAAGGATGGATGGGTGAGAGGATGGATGGATGGATGGATGGATGGATAGATGGATGGATGGACAGATGGATGTGTAGGCATGGAGGGTGGATAAGTGGATGGGGGGTGGGTAGGTGGTGGGTGGGTGGATTAATGGATGCATGGATGGATTGGTTGGTGAGTGGATAGGTGGATGGATGGATGGATGGGTAGATGAATGGACTGATGGAGTGGTTGGATAAATGAATATAGATGGATGGGTGAATAGAAGGGTGGATGGATGGATTGATGGATGAGTGAATGGGTGGCTGAATGCATATGGATGGTTGCATGCATAAATGATTGAATGATTAACGGCTCCCTGAGCAGGACACTTGAGTTGAGCTCTGCTCTTCTCTAGGTGGAGACTTCAGATGTCCTGGGCAATGTCACTCATCTAAAAGGAAAGCTGCCTACTTGGGCCAGCCACATCCTGAGGAATGTGAGTAGAGGGCAAGCATGAGTGTCCCCAGGTTTCTTTCCAACCTGCCCTTCACTGTGGCTCCCAGAAGAGCCAGACCTGTCCAGATATGGGGGTGGGGAGAAGACTCCTGCCAGCCCAGCCTTCCTTTCTTTCCTGTAGGCCAGTGAATGTTTCCTGAACCGGGAGATGGGCTACTTCTCCCAGTATGTGGCCTGGGTGAGAGAAGAGGTGAGTGAGGGCTCAGACTTCACCTGGCCTCAGAGCAACTATGGTGCCCTTACCCCAGTAGACCAGCTAGGAAGCCCGTTGGAGTGCCCTAGGCTTTCAGGATTGAAGCAATCTCCAAAAAGCACTCCTACCCACTGGATGGATCCTGCCTACTCCATTTCTGCCTTAGCCCTTCTGTGAGGCCCAAGCATGGGCTGGACTGGCCATGGCTTTCTAGAACATGCCATCCACACTTTGTCCCATTTGCCTCCATGGGCAGGTCCCTTCCCTATTTGTCTAAGGTCAGCCGTCAAAGCCCACCTCCTCCTGTACATCCCTGTGGGCCACAGCCTCTGGGAAAAAGTCTTGGCCCTGTAGGGGGTTTGGCTTACCCCAAGTGTCTGTGCATATATGCATGTGAGAACAGGCAGGTGTGTGAGGTGGCAACTAAGTGTTGCCTTTCCAGAAAGGGTGACTTAAAGCCAGCATGGGGGACACATTGGGGTCTTCATGTAGGCTGGTGAGTAGATGTAGAGGGTGGGAACTGAGCAAGAAACTCAGTATCCCAACCTCTCTGTGGATCTGTGACGACATGTCTGTGTGTGTACCTGCTGTTCTGTGCACAAGTGTGTGGTGGCCCCCAGCTATGTCTCTGGGCTTCTCTGTTCCTCTTGGCATTTCCCTCAGAATATGGAGTAGATACACCTGTGGGTCCGGGTGTCTCCACATTCACTCACTTCATGTTGGCACCACAGGTGACTCAGCACATCGCCACCTGCCAGCCCCTCTCTGGAGCCCTGGACAATGGTCGTGTGATCCTGTGTGACATGATGGCCGACCCCTGGGTGAGTGTCCTCAGCCCACCTCTAATACAGAGCCACCTGGAGGGACAGCAATAGTGGAGTGTGATGCTGAGCGTGGTGCCTGCCTGCATCTGTTCCCATGGAGTCAGTGCAGGGCATGTAAGCACAGAGCTGGTGGGAAGGTGCTAATGCCCCATGAACTGACTCCACGTCCTCTGTCTAGAATGCTTTCTGGTTCTGCCTGGGGTGGTGCACCTTCTTTCTCATCCCCAGCATCATTTTTGCTGTCAAGACCTCCAAATACTTCCGTCCCATCCGCAAACGCCTCAGGTGAGGGACTGCCACAACCACGGTGGGCATGGGAGGCCTCAGAAATCTTTGCTGTCACAGAGCCACACTCTGTCTCCAAACCTCCCGGTCAGAGAGGGTTTATGGTCCATCCCGGAAGACTCACATGCTCTAAGGAGCTTTGAAGCCTGGAAGTTCGTGCATATACCTGCCTCATGCTTTCCTTGCTGCAGCACATCATCCGGGCATAGCTTCTTGTGATTTCCCACCTTCTAGGGGGCTCCTAAGATAGGAGGGCTCTGGTTGGCCCCATGTCAGGGTTCAGGGTCTGTGCCGAGGACTCACTTTAGTTCTGTGATGCCACAGCTCCACCAGCTCTGAGGAAACGCAGCTCTTCCACATCCCCAGGGTCACCTCCCTGAAACTATAGGACTCACAGGTAAGTTTCTCACCCCTTTAATCCCTCAGTGCTGGAGCTAAGGGTCTAGGATCAGGGGTGTGCAGCATTCAGGAGGGCAGGAAGGCTTGAGGCCTCGGTTTCTGGCTGGGGATACTTGTCACCTCCCTCTCCCTTACCTGTTCCTTTTTAATTTTAACAGGGTAAGGTGATCCTTGGGGCTGCCTGACCTTCCCCCTTGACTCAGCCTGCACCAAAACACTTCTGTAACTCCAGTCTCAGAGCCTGGGCTGCCCCCTAGGCCTAGCCAGTCTCCCTAGCCCCACACGAGCTTACCTGAGCCCACCTTTCCACCCTTCTGCCCATGGTCCCCTTCATTCATTGTCCAAATCACACTCAACCTCTACTGAACTACAGAACCAACAGGTTCTTCTGGGTATCTACCTTTGTCCTCCTGGCTGTGGTTTCTCAGCATCAGGAAGGGTCTGTTCTCTACCTGTTGGAATTCCTTCTCCAGCCTTTTAGATGGGACAGAGTTCCTAACTCAGACCCACCCAATCCCCATCTGCCTTCCCCACTGGCTCCAACTTCCTTCCTGTTCCCTCCCCAGCCCTTTGCATCCTGCTCCCACTTTGTTCCCTCTTTACCTTATCCCCACTGCTACCTTGCTAGCCCCTAGACACCCCTTCCCACCTGCTTAACCATCCACCAAGCATGCTACAGCCACCATGGCTGAGATCTAGACTGGCTTTGTGCTCTGCCTCATGACCCCTGAGCCTTCTGCTGCCCTAGGGCCTTAGGCTTTCTGCAGGCTCAGACCTGCATCCATGGCCCCCAGTGGGGTGAGAAAGGCCCATATGAGGGCTGAGCTACCCTGTCTGCACTCGAGGTTAGAGATGGCAGTGCTGGCCCCAGCTCCTCTCTGAGCACTGACTCTCAAGAGACCAGGGACCTGGGCCATGGTGGTGCTTCCCCACAGCTCCATAGACAGTAGCGTTTCCCAGGAGGGATATGGTAGAGAGAACAGGGTTTTGCAGACCCCATTCCATCCTGTGCATGTGCCCATCCCTGTGTAGTCCCTATGTGCTGGACACTGAATCTAGAAAGAATGAAGAGAAAGGAGAAAAGGAGATGGACAGATCTTTGATTCCATTAATAGTCTCCTACTTCCCTAGGCTTTGGTTCTGGGTCCCTGAAACCGTGTCTCCCTGTCTGGAGCTCAGTATACATTTGGTATTTAATGAGTGGTTGTGTGAAGGAGACTTCCAAGGCCTTCCTGGCTGCAGGCATCCCAAGACTGTAAAGCTATTCGATGGGAAGCAGAGCCTGGTGGGAGCTGGCGTACCTGGATTCACAGCCTAGCTCTGATGCTGCTAGCTGGGACACCTCAAACATGTTATGTAGGTTCCCCAAACCTCAGTTTCCTTTTATAATATGATAATAGGTGGAAACCACTTGGCAGGGCCTGGTGCTGAGCGAACGTACCAGGAGTTGGCAGTTGCTACTTGTCTTGTGGCTGCACTAGGCCAAGGGACAGAGCCAGGGTCTGGGCAGGTACGAGGCAAAGGGGAGATGGATCCCTGCTCAAAACTCAAAAGCCCTTTATAATGGTGGTCTGCTGTGTTTCTGGGTGTGTCCATGTTGAGATCTGTCTTATAAGCAGGCAGCAAACTTTGTTCTAGAAGTTAGGATGGCGGCACCTCTGTGCTATCCCTCCTGTAAGCACACTCTCAAACAAGCAACCCAGGAGCAAGTATAGCACTTCTTTGGGGTTTTCCAAGAGGTTGGGTTTTTTGTTTTAGTGTTTTGCTTATTTACCTGTTGATTTTGGGTGGGGAAGTGGCACCCTGGAAGTGTTCTTAAAATGCAATTGGTGGAACTTAAGCAAATGGAATAAAAACTATTAAAAATTCATTTCACTATCAGAGCTGCTGAGCACATTAAGCAGAGATATTTTTAAGATTTATTTATTTTTATTTTATGTGTATGAGTGTTTGTCTGCATGTATATATGTGCACCATGTGCATGCAGAACCTGTAGAAGCCAGGAGAGGCATCAGATCAGCTGCATATCAGCAGCTGGAAACCAAATCTGGGTTCTCTGCAAGAGCAGCAAGTGCTCTTAACCATTGAGCCGTCTCTTCAGCCCTAAGCAGAGTTATTTTAAATTCAAATCCTTGGCATGGATGGGAGCCGTGATCGGTTCCTGGTGGCTGTGGTTTCCTTGTTTTTGTTCCATCTTGTCTCCTCCATACTTAATAACATTTGACTGCATTTGCACTTATTCTATCTGGAAACCTGTCAGGATAATTGAAGGCCTAGGAGGAAGTCATCTTCCCCATGAGGCAGGTGACTGGGGACCCAGCAAGCAGGATCACTTGAATTCACTGGCAGAGACCAGATAACTTAGAGGGCAGGTCTGGAGCCAGCTCTTCAAGGTGAAGCCTATTTCAAAGCATGGAAGATTTTCCAGGCACATCCCTTTCTTGGGGCGGGGGCCGGGGGGAGGTTACCAGACATCATGAAAAGCTCTGTTTAGCGTCTTAACAACATCCAATGGGATCAGAAGACATCTTAGGGTGGAAGTCACTCTAGATGCCAGCCACATGTCCCTGGCTTTCCTTCTTTTCCCAAATCTTGGCTCTGTGATAATTAATTTTTTGGAACAGGGCCTCATGTATCCCAGACTGGCCTCAAACACACTATGTAGTAAAGGATGACCTTGAACTTCTGATCTTCCTGCCCCAGCTTCCCATGTACTGGGATTACAATTGCATACCACCATGCTTGGTTTTACATGATGCTAGGAATTGAACCCAAGACTTTGTGCGTGTTAGGCAAACCCTCTATCAAATGAGCTACATCGCCAGTCCAGCTCTGTGATTCTTTTCTGCCCCACAAATTAAATACATATAACTTAAAAGGCTGCTCAAGCTGGGCATGATGGTGCATGCCTTTAATCCTAGCACTTGGGAGGCAGAGGCAGGCAGATGTCTGTGCGTTTGAGGCCAGCCTGGCCTACATCGTGAGTTCCAGGCCAGCTGGGGCTACAAGGAGACCCTGTCTCAAAAAGACCGAAAAAAAAAAAAAAAAAAAAAAAGGCAGAAAGAAACCTCATCACTTGGACACAGGCTTTGCAAAGGCGCATGTTGAGAGAGCATTGCCATAAGCACTGATCACCCAGAGAGAGGGGTGGTGACTGAAATAGCTACAGGAAGATAGTATGTTTCTCTGGTTTAAAATGCTGGGATGGCATACTGCTTGAGCTGCTTTGCATGTGAACTGAAATCCTTCACAGTCTTGTCACCACCACAGTCTCTAAGGGGGTCCAGTTGACATCAATAGTGGAGCCAGGAAATTACCTGGCTGGTTCAAGGTCGTATATGTTATATTCTGGTTCCTTGGTCCTTGCCCTGGCCATTTCCTCTTGGATGCTCTGCCAGTCTCCATCCCCCATGGGTGTGTGGGAGGGAGGCCCTGTCTCCCAGGAGGTTTGAGTCAGATGTCCTTGATGTCCCTGTGGCAGGAGGGATGACAGATTGGGGGCCCTGGGAGTTCTGCCAGATGCTCCACCTGGCCACCTAGCACAAAGCCCTGTGGCAGACACTGCAAAAGAAACATCATGTGGGTCAGGGCATTTGAGGTCCTAGGTGGGTGGCCAGGGTAACTCTAGATGACTCAAGGTCTGTGAATCAAGGGGCACATGGCTGGAGCTGGAACAGAGTGAACAAACATTTCTCCACTGAGCTATGAGTGTGAGTCAGGCATGGTATGTGAATTAGCCAAGAGAGGTACCAATTTACCTGTTTGGTTGAGAAAACAAAAGCACAGAGATTGGATGTGAACAAAGCCCACACAGGAATCTACTGATGCTGGTAGCACTCCAGGACCCATCTGAACTCTCTGGGTCCAGTCTGAGGTCCCGTTCAGGGTGAAAATGGACAGTGTCCCTCTCCCCATCCTCCTAGAGCCAGGACCCTGTACCTTGAAGGCCACAAACTGAGCCAAGAGGCCACCAGTCAGCCTGGTCCTCACTCCATGTGCTGATAAAGCAAAGCTCCTGGCACCTGGTCCTTCCTTCAGCAACTTGGATGTGCCATCCTGGAGTACTTAACACTTGCCCATCTTACAGACAATGATTGGGTGGAGAGGAAGGCAGGGCATATTTGGAGGGAGCCCCAGTCCAGCCCTGGCCTGGCCACAGGTGATACAGTACTTAAGGAAAAGGCCACCAAAGCCTTACCTGCACTGAGGTACCAAGGATCTGTAGTTAGAGGAGAGGGGCTTGAGAGACGTCAGATGAGCCCAAGTGGGAGGTAAGGTGCTCTCCCTTCACTCCAGGCAGAAGGAAGAGGCATTAAGAGCAATAAGGTGGACTGGAGAGATGGCTCAGCAGTGAAGAAGACTGACTGCTCTTGCAGTGGACCCAGGTTTGATTCCCAGTACCCACATAGTAGCCAACAACTGTCCATAACTCCAGTTTCAGGGGACCCCACCCTTTTCTGACCTCCTCAGGCATTGAAGAACATGGGTACACTAAACATACATGCAGGTAATACACTCATACACATAAAATAATAAAAAAGAGGGAGGCCGGGCGTGGTGGCACATGCCTTTAATCCCAGCACTCGGGAGGCAGAGGCAGGTGGATCTCTGTGAGTTCAAGGCCAGCCTGGTCTACAAAGTGAGTTCCAGGACAGCTGTGGCTATAGGGAGACCTTGTCTCAAAAAGACCAAACCAAACCAAAAAACCCCAGTGCCCCAAGAGGACAGTAAAAAAAAAAGAGAAGATCAGTGAGATGTTTCAGTGGGTAAAGGCACTTATCACCAAGCCAGACAACCTGAACTCCATCCGCAGGACCCACACTATAGAAAGAGAGAACCAGCTCCTGCAAGTTGTCCTCTGACTTCCACATGTACACCATGGTGTGCAACCCCCAAAATATTGTTTTTTAAAAGGAGTGAACAAGCTTCATAGGGGTCCCTACAGTTTGGAAAATGCAGGAAATAGATGCTTCCTTCATCCAGAGGATAACTGTTAGCTGTAGAAGTAGCAGAGCTAAGGGGAGAGTTAGTGGCCTGGATAAAATCTCCTGTGAGAGATGGCGGCCAATGTAGGATCACTTAGGCCCTGTCCTATGTCTGAAGAAGTAGCAGACCTCAGCCAACAGTGGGTGGATCTGCACCCAAGCATTGGAAGTTCCTTGGCATCCACGATCCCTTCCACTTCCAGCAGTCATGTGAAATACCTCAGATGCAAATAGCAGGAAGATTGCTAGTGGTGGCCAGGCCTTGGGGACCTTGAAGCTGCCCATGACTGAAAGAAGAGCCCATAACCTCCACCAAACCCAGGGAAGCTCAGCTGGAGGCTGACCCCAGACCCTGACTGGCAACAGGCCTCCTGACTGCTGGGGCTCAACCGGGCCTAGTGGCTTCCACCTCAGAGCAGGCATGCTGAATACGAACGAGCTGGAGGAGAGCTGTAGCTGTGTTGTGTGAACTGAAGAGACAGAGAACTCTTTCAGTTTCCCACCCAGTAAGTGTCCTGGGGCCTGTCATATTTCTACTGGGCTGCAGTGGGGGTGGGAGGCTAGTATCAAAAGAGATTTCAGAGGTCTGAAGAAAACACAGCTGAAGCAGTTCCAGATTATGTCTATTCTGTGACACTTCAGAGATTCCCAGCATCCAGAAGGAAAACTTTTTAGGGCAACAGGAATCCTTGGAGCTCCTGTGACACAGGGGCTCTGTGCATATGGTAGGACCCACCTCTATTCAGAGGGGCCTTTTCACAGGTAAGGGCCATGGGGGCAAACCATGACAGAGTACCTCCACCTGCCCTCCCACCCACTCCGCAAGGCCTCCCCAGTAGAGGGGCTTAAGGGAAGAACTTGGGGCTAGGGCTGCACAGAAGTGGGTTGGAGAGGCCAGAGAGGAGGAGCTTAAACTTGAATCTAGTATGGAGAGGTCATAAGCAAGAACTGAAAATGATTTAGAAGACCCCAAGATTTGTGGGTGGTGATAGTATCAGTCCCTCACCTGGACAGTAGGAAAGGGCCCTATTGGCTGAAGCAGCCCATGGCTACTTCAAGTGTTGTAAAGAAATAGCCTCTCCAGACTTGAAATTAACCCTCCCTTCTCCTCTTGTAAACCTCATCCCCTCACCCCCAGGCCTGTGTGAGGAAACAACTGAAACCCATCAAGACAAGAGTTGCTAACTACATGGGCCTCCTACAGCACCCTTAACCTATTTTTGGATGGATGACAGTATGTGTTGAAAGACTCCTTCTCAAACTCCAAGAGTCTCTCTTAGGGGAAGTTGGCCGATGTCCATGTATCGCAGCAAGGCCACAGCTTGAGATCCATGTGAGGAGACTTGCTTCTGCCCTTTCTCACTCCAGTGTCTCTCAGAGGCATTGGAAATGCCTGGGACCCCAGAAAAGCTCCTGAGAGGATGCAACGAGAAAAGGGGATGGGAGGTTCAAGGGTCCTGGCGGGGCAGAGACACCCCATACCTGTGTTTTATGAGGGGCACTCACCTGTGTAGGGGCTGAACACAGGACATAAACCAGGAGGAGGTTCCTGGTTCCCTGGAAGGCTCAGGAGAGGAGGGTTCTGTTCTTCGCCTGCCGTGCCACAGCTTGCCAATCCTAAGGAACTATTTCTAAGGACTGGAATTTTAACAAGAGTGCCAAGCAGAGACTTGGTTGCTCTCCAGATAGAGGCACTGGCTTGAGGTGGGCTGCTCCCAAGGTCCTACTTTCTCAGAAAATGCCATGAATAAGGCCAGGCCTGTCCTGGGTCATGGAATGAATCGTTTCCAAAATGATGACAGAACCCAGGACTTGTAACTGCTGGGTGGAATCACTCCCCTAGAGCCGGCTTTGCTGGCTTTGTCACGCTAACCTAGGCTTGGGCAGGTTAACTCTTCTGCCTTCATCATCATCGTAGACTTGAGAAAAGGACTCTTTGCTCACGAAGCCACTATGAGGACTCCAACCCCTTGTGGAAGCTTGCCTGAAGCCAGACAAGGCTCTTGGGAAGATTGGCAGCCACTCAGGGCCTTGCCCTTCCCATTTTCCCTGGGTCTGTTGAGCCCTTTGACTATCATGATGTCCTCCAGGTCAGACACAGGAGCTGTCACCTCCCCTCTAAGCATAATCTTCTGCCTGGGGGATTCATAGCTCCAGGATTTTTTGCCCCTGAGGGCCTGATAGCTGCAGGTAATAGCTAACTCAATAAAAGAGGGTGGGATGGGGTGGGGAAGGCATGCAAGTGTTCCTAGGCTTGCTGGAAAGGAGGGGGAGGCTCATGCTCTGTTTCCATGGGAACCACTGGCACATGCAGCTCCTCCAGGCACCAAAAAGGGAAACTTGGCCCAGGTTTCAGGCACCTGGCTCCCTCCCAGTAGATTCCCTGAGGGCTGAGAAAATGTCCTGGAGACAGCCTCCCACAGGACAGGAAAGAGGCCCCCAGGGATGCTCAGGACCCTTGGTCCTTTCTTCTGAACCCACTTCCACCCAGAAGATCTGGAGAGGTCCTGTGGCTACCCCAATCCCTGAATTTGGTCCCAACCTCAGAGCGAAAAGACAGTGATACTTGGGAAGTGTAAAGCTCTTACTCTGGCTTGGAGTGACACAGAGGTGACTAAGGATAGGGAGAGACAGATGAGCGAGCTAGAAGGACCCCGTGTTGCTTTGGCATTGTAACCCCAAGGGCTCCAGTCTCTGTCCTGGGGCAGGGACTGGTGGTAGAGCTTCCTACCCCTCTCCCTGTGACTAAGAGAGCAGAGTATGTAGTAGAGAGACACAGGGCAGGGGACTGACAGGGGGACCAGATACGCTGTGAGGCCAGGATTCCGTCCCCTGGAGAAAGAGAAACTGGGGTGGGAGGCAGGGGAGAAAGGAGAGGAGAGGCAAAGAAAAGAGAAAGAAGGGAAGAGGGAGGAGGGAGGAAGAAGGAGGGAGGAGAGAGGAAACAGAGCAGGAGGGGTGGAGCTAGTAGCCAGCAGAGAGGGCGGGTGGAAGGGGTGGGCAGGGGGCGGGGGAGAAGCCTCCAGTGATTATTGCGTCTGGGTCCTAGCAAACATGAGGCAGCTGCCAGCCAGACCAGGCAGTCCCGTGTGTTCGGGCTGCAAAGTGGGGAGGCCAGTGACAGTCCCCCTCAGCAGCCAGGATGCAGAGGGCCAAGGTAGGTGCTGGAAGACTGGAGCCTTGCTTAGACTTGGGAGAGCTGGGGTTCTGGGTGTTGTGGTGTTGCTCTGGACCAGGGAGACTCCTCACTGTGTTCCTGTGCCTCCTTCCTTGACCCCATGCCCTACTATTCCCTATAAGGAAAAGTAATTGTTGGGGTGTCCTGGCTGGGAGGCTAAAATCTGGGGCTCCTTTGGTTGGAAGAGGCTTTGGGTGTTGATGGATGGAAGAGGAACTTGAGGTCTGCTTCATGACTGGTCCTACCTAGTTAAGTTCCTGGGGCAGGAACCAGGATAGCTGACCCTGAACCTAACTCCATACTCCTTAGGCTTGTGGGAATGCAAGAGCATGGGGAAGGGCATCTTATGTTTGGGGACTGGCCAATGTATGCAGCTTTCGAGTAATTGCTAATTAATGAATGACTGTCCTTTTTTAAAGTAGTATGAGACCTCTAATAAGAGCACAAACGAATAGTTCCCTGTCCATGGGGCTGTTAGAAGCTGAAGTGAGAGAAGGCAAAGAAATGTCTGGCAGAGACCAAGAAACAGTGATGAGGTGAGGGAAAGGATGAGGCCAAGGAAAATAAGTTGTCCCCTAGAAAGACTGGCCTAGGGCCCTGCAAGCTGCCCAAAGTCCAGGATAGTCTTGTTCGGGAGAAGAAATACCAGGATTAGGTCCATCTGAACACCCCAAGATGACAGTGGATGGAACAAGATTGGTTGCATGTTTCCCATGCAGAAGTCTGGAGGGAGACACTAGAGGGCAAGCACAAGTGCCCTCCCCCACATGTAGCCTGTGAGAAGGATGAGAAGGGAAGGAAAGGCAAAGGGAACAAATGAAATCAGAGTCTTATAAAAACAACAAATATTGGGATGACCTCCTGTAGGCTCTCCTCCGAACATATGGCTTCCTGCCTCTTTTTCCCCCATGAAGACAAGCAGCCCAGAGAGGGATTGGGACTGCCCCAGAACCCAGGACACCCCTTGCCCTCTATGGTCTATTTTCCAGGATACCAAGAAGAATCAGCAGAAGCGACAGCATGAAGTGTCCCCAGCACCTCCAGGCAGGCAAGGCAAGAGCATAGACAGCACTCTATCCCAGACTCACCCACATGGCATGTATACTGCAGGCAGTGCAGGCTGTGCGCATCCACTAACACCTATGTGAGCACAGACTCACAGCCATGTCAGCACAGTCTTATCTGCCCTGTGACTGTGCTCCTGCAGAGCAGAGCAGTGTGAACCTGTATGTTCATAGATGTGCACACCGCTGGCTCTGTCCCTCTTCCCTGACCTCTCTTGGGTGCTCTAATTCCCTGGGACCCTGCCAGATGGGCAGAGTGAGTGCATCTGGCCCTTCTTTGGGTCACTGTGACCTCCCCATGCCCACAGTTGACTCCTGGGCTGTCATGGATCTCAGTGTCCTTGTGCCCTCACCTGTGGCTTCCCATGTGTAGCCTGGCCCAAGATTGAAGCAGGCTCCACCCAGACAATGGTTGTAGGGGAAACCCCACTGTCCCTCACCACCAGGAGATTATTAGCATGAGGAACAGTAACTGGCACAGGCTGGGAGTTGGTCCCACTTGTCACAGTCAGCAGCTGACTCCTAGTTCTGCCCCTGCCTTCTTTCTACACCCTCCCATTCCTTCACCACCAGCCCTCACTCAGCTCTGCAGGGTGGGCACTGCCATTCCTATCCCAATGCCTTCAAGGCTCAGAGCGGGCACTAGTCATAATGCCAGTCCTCCTGAGTTGGAACCCTATGAGCTGTCAGGAGGAATGAGCCAAACCCACACTTGGCAACAGTAGGCGTGGCCTCCATCCTATACTTGGGTGAGATGTCCTCATGGATCAGCTTGACTCTGGGAACTTCTCTAGCTTCTTGCAGGACATGGGTGGAGATGGGCTTTTATTTAGCCCCTGTTCGTAAAGACAGTAACTGAGAGCCCAGGCAGGATGGGGAGTGTTTACCCCCTGTTTGTAAAGACAATAACTGAGAGCCCAGGCAGATGGGGGAAGTGGCCTGCTCTCCAGGTGGCATCTGGGAGAGATCAGAAGCCTAGGATACAATGGCTGGTTCTATACTGCAAGTATAGTGTTGGAGCTAGATTTGAACCCTATTCTGTCCTCCATAGCACAGGTCCCCAGGCGCATACTCCAGGGAAGAGGTACATGCCTTTAACCAGGCAGCCAAGGAGGCACCCTCCCAGTCCCAGGGCTAAATTCTATGAATTTGTGGTTCATTGCACCTTCTCACCCTACTACTGAGTGACCCAAGCTGGACTCTACCCCAGCCATGTCCACTACATTAGCTATTTGACCGCAAGCCCCTACTTCCCCTTTATGGGCTACAGATCCAGAGGAGTTAAGGGTTCCCTTTTCTTGTTCGTTCATTCATTCATTCATTCATTCATTCATTCATTTGAAACAAGTCTCTTGTAGCCCAAGCAGGCTTTGCTATATAGAAGGAGATGACCTTGAACTTCTGATCCTCCTGCTTCTACCTCCTGAGTGCTGGAATTACAGGTGTGCACACCCAGTTTGTGCTGGGGGTCAAACCCAGGCTTTGTTCACACTGTGCAAGCATTCTATGAACTGAGCTACATCCAGCCCAGTTCTCCTTCCTTATCACAATCTTTCACAAAAAGAGAGAGCTGCTTGGCTAACTCAGACTCAGCTTAGGAGCATCCCCTGCTCCCTCAGCCCCCTGGGCCTCTTTGGGGTTCTCAAGAGCAATTGCAGGGTCACAGATATGCCCTCTGGGAGGGCTTCCAAGCAGAGAAGGGAGAGGGGAGAGCATCTGGCTTAACAGGCACAGACCCAGGCAGGGAGCGTGCACAGTGTGCATGACTCACAGTGCCCCCTCCCCCAGCTCCCAGCTTCAGCTGACTGATGTTATCCCCTCAAACAGGTGCATCTGTCAGCTGTGATCAGCCCACATCTCAGAATGCCACAGAGCAGCCATGTGACAGGGAGAGAGCTAGGGGACCTGCAGGCACTAGGGTTGGAGCAGAGGGAGCTGAGATGAGCAAAGCAAGAGGACAGCCAAGAGGGACCTGCCCCTCATTTCAGTTGGCCCAGCCTCCCACTCTGGCCTATCTCAGTTCTCTGCCTTGCTGGCCCTCCATCAAGCCTCATGACAGACCCATGCTGAACGAGGTAAAGCAGAGACACTGGCTGGCCAATCTCCAGCTCCACCTGTCACAACATCTGCCCTCCCCTACCTCCAACATATAGGTTTTCTCTGGGACAGAGAAGACCTCTGCCCCTGGTGCTATGCCTGTGCCTGACCCTGTTGTAAGAAATAAGATCAATGGCCCTAGGCAATCCAGTTCTAGCCAGTATTCTACCCCCATCACTCTGAGCCAGACCTGCCCTTCTCTAGACCTCTGACTTTCTACTAGGGCCTGAAATATACCCATAGCCTCTGCCAGAGCCCCAGTTGCACTCAGATCCCTGTGCTGGCCAGTGGGAGGCTGCAAATGCTACACTGCCACTCTTCCTGACACCCCGCAAGTACATACAAAACCTCACTGGCCCATCAGCATCAATCCTCACCATTTGGTATTGAAGAACCCTGGCAGGAGAAGAAGTGACCTGAGGAGGGCTCAGCGCCACCACTGTCAGCTATGAGCCCTGGCTCTGCATCCCAAGGGTCTTAGCTCCTTCACATGTCAGCTGTGTCCTCAGATAAGTTTCTTAGTCCTTCTGTGCCACCAACCCATTTAGCCTGGCCCAACATTAGTAAGAGGTCCATAAATGCTAGAAGAGCCTGGGAAGTCTCCCTGACAGAAAAGGTTACCAACAAGCAGCTTGTCAACCCCTGAGTTAATGGAGTGCCCTCACTGTAGGGTAGGGGAACATATGTCTTCATAAGTCAGCAGCCACCAGATACGGGACCTGGACAGCCTAGTTCTGTCCTTTATTGCCACAACACCCGACGAGTGAGGTCCAGGGATATGTGTGTTCACATGTGCATGTGTGTGTGTTTGTGTGCATGCCTGTGTGTATGTGTATACTGGCACCTGCAGGGACACGTGACTGTCTCAACTTTCCCTCCCAAGATGAGCTACCTGGTGCACATCTGTCTGTGCCTAGGGGTGGGTGGAAAACTCAGCCTCCTGAAGCCTCCCATTCCCTGGGGGCCTGTACGACACAACACCCACCACAACTTCTTGCCATATGGCCCATGCGACGAAAATAGAGTAAACTGTGAGTGGGTGCGGGGCAAGTCAGCCTGTGCTGAGGCAGCCCCTGTGGTTAGGAGACGGGGTATAGGTCAGTCCCACATTTGCTCAGACCCTGACCTCAGAATAATTCTCTTGGAAAGGAAGAGGACTGAGAATCTTGTGTACCCTTCCCCGCAAAGCCCAGCATTGTCTGGCGTGATCAGCATATTAACCCTTACCTGCATTTCTAAATCTACGGAGGAGCTTTATAAAAATGAGACTCCCAGCCCTTCTGAGTCAGGTGATGCGGACCCCCAGACAGCATACCTCTTCTGGCCACTCCAATGTAGAGCCAGCTGGGCACAGCCAGCTGTTTCTCTTGGCAGGATGCTCTGGGGTTTGGGGCTTGGCCTTGGCCTTGCTGTCTGCACTGGCAACTCAGGACCAGAAGGCCTAAGGACAGTGATAATTGCTGTGGAAGGCTTGGCTTTGCATTCATGACCTCACCTGACCTTCCTTGTAACCCTGGGTGGGCATGCTATGATCCCCCTTTGCAATGAGGAACCAGAATCTCAGGGCAGTCAAGGACTCAGTTCAAGTTCACCCAATAAGGACATGAGGGCGTGGGATCCAAGTCCCTGGCTGTACTCAGGGACTCTCCCCTCTCTACTCAGCTGTCTGAAACCATACAAGCCTCTCCCAGATCTCCCTACTCACTCACTACAAGGTGCGTTCTCTGAATACATGTCCAGTGTGTCCTGGTGGCACTTAGGAAACTACTTGTTGCTGTTTCCTGCCCATAAGGTCTTATGATTTGTGCGCCCAAATCATCTATGGCAGGTCTTAGAACCATCCATCTAGAACAGGGCTGTCCAGTGGACACTAAATATGAGGCACAGATGTCATTTAAAATGTTCCAGCGGGTGTGTTAAAGAAAGCAAAATTTTAAAAGTGAAACTATTTTTAATGACTTTAAATTATTGGGCTTTGAGCAAGTGTTCTGGGTAATCTGGAGGGACCTCCAAAGGCTGGTGAGAGCATTGAGTAAAATAAACATTCCCTATACCTAACTCAGTTGGTACGGAGTAGGTACAGTCTTCTCCTGTGGGCCCCTCTGTCTCTCCAACACTCCCAATAGATGTTGAGGGGGAAGATGACTTAGAAAGAGGCTAAGACCTCCCACTGGGCCAGCTAAGTGAGTCTGGGCTCTGGGTTGGCCAGCAATAAGTGGCCATTACCTGCAGCCTCCTCCCCTAAGGGAGTCTTGGTAGCCTCACTGGAGACTGTTGGTTGCCAGGGCCACCCTAAGGCCATGTTGGGACGGGATGTGATCCGAAATGCTGCTTTGACAGGTGGGCAGTCAAGGACACTGGGACCTGGGAGCCATGGCACATGCATGGAGGTCAGAGGACACTTCGCATAAGTCATTTTTTCTTTCTTTTACCATATGGGTCCCAGGGATCAAACTCAAGTTCTCAGGATTGGCTATACATTCTTTTACCTGAGCCATCTCACTGGCCCCAAATGAAACTTTTATTGCTCTAAGTGCGGTAAGAAAGAACACTGAGAGACCCCATGTCCACCTTGCCCAGTTTCCCCAGGGCAAACTTACACAATATCACACTGGGCCAGGAGGCACATGCCTCAGTGTTTCAGAGGTGGAAGCAGTAGGATCAGGAGTTCAAGACCAGCCTCAGCTACATAGTGACTTTGAGGTCAGGCTGAAATTCATGAGAACCTGTTTCAAAAATAAATAAATAAAACCTGCAAAACACACAGGAACCAATAAAAATGAAAAGCTAATATTGCACCTGGGATATGGACATTGATATGCTGCCATTATCACTCAGGCTCCCCCAATGTGCTGTGTGTTTGTGTGTGTGTATGTGTACTGTTTGTATTGTGTGTGTGCATGTGTGTGTATGTTTATGTATTGTATATATGTGTGCATGCTGTATTGTGTATATTGTATGTATGTATGTGTGTATGTGTGTGTATGTTTATGTATTGTATATATGTGTGCATGCTGTATTGTGTATATTGTATGTATTGTGTGTATTGTGTGTATGTGCATATGTAGTATGTTTGGTGCTATGAGGTTTTATCACATGTGTACTTTGCATATCCATCACCACCACAGTCAAGATACACGATTATAATTTCATCCCCAAAAGGTCTGTCTGGGCCCTTTTATGGCTACTCTGCCTCGCTCCCCAATTCCTGACCTTTTAATCTGCCCTCTGGTGCCAACGCTGTCATTTCAAAATGCTATGTAAATAGACTCACACATCATGTGACCTTTCAGGATGAACTTTTCATCCAGCTTAATTCCCTGAGACTTCTTGCAAGTTGTGGTGAGTACCCGCAGTTTGTCTCTTCTCCTGGTTGGAAATATGGAAAGTTTGCTGCCAATATTGGCTTCATCTTCCTCCACTGAGAGACATCTGGGTGTTGGGGCTTTTACAAATAAAGCTGCTGTGAACATTCAGTGATAAGTTTTTGTTTGGGCATAAAATTTCAATCGTCTGGGACAAACACACAAGAGTACAATTGCCAGGGTGTGTTAGCTGCCTGTTCCGTTTGCTATGGACCTGCCCACCTGTTCTCCAGACTGGCTGAAGCACTCTATGCTCCCAGGAGCCACGTAGCCATGACCCAGGGTTCTCATCTGTATCGTGTTTGCTGCTGTCTCTAGTTTTCATTTTAGGCATGGAGTGCTTCTCATGGTGGTTTTCAATGTGCATTTCCCTGGTGACGAAAGGTGGCAGGCATCTTTTCAGGTGTTTATGTGCTCTCTTTATGTTCCCTCTGGTGACATGTCTATGCATGCTTTTCTTACTGGATTGATTGCTCTTTTACTGTGGAGTTTGGAGAGAGAGGGTCTCCAGTGTCAGGCATTGTGATGGAAAGGGCAGTTCACACAGAGACATACACATTCACCCATGCACACACATAGGGGAGCAATGTCACAGAGCTGACATCTCCAGTAAATAGAGAAAGTAGAATAGCAGGGTAAGTTCAAAAAAGCTACATGCTGGAGGAGGCACAGCAGGGCTGAGATGGAGGGACATAGGGATGACTTAGATAGGACATTGCTGGGGGTGGGGCTGACAGCTGAGTGTGGCCTTGAGCATCCAGGGGACAAAGCCACCAATTCAGGGAGCAGCAGACACCCGGGCAGCCTGTGAGGAGCAGAGTTAGGTGGGGGTAGAAACGTGATATAGGTTTGATTTGCAATGTGACAGGAGGCCACATGGGGCTCCAAACAGGGACAGGGGCACTTTTAATTTCTGTTCCACTGTCCTCACTGCCCCAGCATTCCTCATTCTGTCACCTCCCTGCACAGAAGCCCATCAGGGTGAGAGGGCAATGGGGTTGCCTCCCTGCCTCCCTCCCCTCAGTGCCTCTGAGCCTAAGAGGCAGGAGGAGGACAACTGAGTGGCTATTAATATTCCTTGACAGCTCAGACAGACCCTCTCCCAGACAGACAAGTGTCAAATATTCATGAGGATGACCCGCAGTCACCCTTCCCTCCTCCTACCTCCCCCACAGTGTGATGGGCCTAGGCCACAGTCCTTGCTCCTCTGTGGGTGTGTGGACAGGCTGTCTCCCCTCCCCTCTGTCCTCTCTTCAGAGCTTACCTACCACTACCTCAGAACAGGAGACCTTCACAGGCCTTGCCTCGAGGGAGGTCACAGTGGGGATCCTGGCCCCAGGCTAGGTAGAAAAAGCTAGCCTCAGGTCTGGATATGACCCCACCCTGACTTTACACCAGGAAGAAAAAGATGCTGGGGTCCCTTAGCCCAGGACAGCACCAGGACATTCATAAACAGTTCTACTTTGGGAGACTGTCAACTTCTTTAGAGAGCTTAGAGACCCTAACTCCCAACTTCTAAATTCTCTCCATGAGCAGCCACTTTGGAAATCTGCACCCAAGGTTACCCGGAATCTGAAGGTTATAAATATAGTGTGGTCTAGTATGTTCTCAAACTTCTCAAAGATTTAGTTTATTAGTCTGTAAATGGGGTGTTGTGGCCCATTTCAAGGGCTTGTGACAACAAGATGACTTGTAGCTCAAACAGATATGCACTAAGGGGTCTTAGCCTGCTCTGCGGGGGGACCATTGTCAGATGGAAGCCAAAGTACCCCCAGGCTCTCCTCACCAGCTTAGGCCTGGATCTGAGATAGAAGCTACTAGTGCCAACACGGTGGGGGGGGGCAGCACTGGCAGTGGGGTTGGGGCTCCCAACAAAGCACTCTTGTTGGCAGCTCTGAGCCTCTGAGGCCCACCTTTCCTTCCATCCCCACTCATAGAGCCTTCAGCAAGGCATTCATGAAATAATGAAGCACCAGTTGCCAACCTCTCCCAGCCCTCCTCCTTGACCCACATACAGACTTATTCATCGAGGCCATTTCTCTCTTGAATGAGATATTTAATAATGGAGAAGATGCCTCTGACCCACCCAGGGAAGGCTACTCGTGAGAATGTGCCTGTGTGTGGATATATGTGTGCATGTATGTGTGTTTGTGTATACAGATATGTGTACACAGTGCATGTAGGAAGGTGCCTCCCTCCATATCCCTGGTACCTACCTCCCTCCACGCAAACATTTCTCACTGCCAAGTGAACCTTGGAGAAGGGAAGAAATGTGGGGATGTTGCTGAGGGTATGTTGGAGGATGGGGTGACACTGTGATCCAGGACCATACCTGTTCCATGGCTGCCCTAGCAGGAGGCAGGGCACAAAAGCAGTGAACCAGATACCCAGAGGGGCAGTCATGACTGATGACAGCCTGTCTAGTCAGGGACCACACTGCTACAAATCCAGAATGATGATAGTGGGCAGTCTGTGCAGCCAGGATTGAAGGTTCCAAAATATTGCTGTGGGGAAACAAATCTCCCCTCTCTGGGTCTTTCACAGTGACCCTGAGCTGGCCTTTCCCAATTCAGCTACTCAGACTCAGGTCCCACTGTTTCTCAACAAGCCCACATCCTTCCTATCAGTGGCCTCCTATCAAGCTTGGTGGGTAGGTTCTCCACGTGGTCACACAGTCGTTCATCCACCCTCACCACCAGGTGAAACTCAGAGGGAGCAAAGCCCTCCCCCAAGAGAGGGGCCCCTTACATGAATGTGTCCCCTGTGTGGACTCTCCTATCCAGAATTCAGTCAATTCACCAACAAGCTATCCAGTTCTAACAGCCTGACTTGTGCTGAGGTGGGGTTGTGATGAGCTGAGGAAGTCTGGGCTCAGGACTAGCCTGGTCTCTCTGAAACCCTCTAGAGCCCAGAATCTGAGTGCAGAGCAGAATTAACTACAGAGAACCAACAGGGCAACCAGATCACGGGGCAGCAGGAGGTCGCAGTCAGCACAGGCCTCAGCTCTGCAAGCCAGGTCCCTGGCAGGTGAGGACTGACCTCACCCTGCATATCAGAGTGGTCTGTGGGATCATCTAGAGGTCTCCTTGTAAGCCTGGACTCAGGAGTGTTCTTCCTATCCCCTCTTCAGGAAGCAATGAAGGCATCAGATGGCAGCCTCCTGGGCGACACTGGGCACACACAGCTGAGCAAGAAGGAGGGCATCAAGTGGCAGAGGCCGAGGTTCACCCGCCAGGCCCTGATGCGTTGCTGTTTGGTCAAGTGGATCTTGTCCAGTGCTGCCCCACAGGGCTCAGGTAGGGCCAGGACAACTGGGTTCCAGGAATAGGGTGGGGATCTCTCTGAACTCTGTCCTTCCTGAGGCCACAGAGGCCATCTTGGGTCATGCTGCCTCTATCTCTGTTGGGAGATCCTCAGGTTCCCTCACTGAGGATCCAAAACTCCAGGATCCAGGTAGGGCACGCAGAGCACAGGAACAAAGGACTGGGGCCATACACAGGTTTTCCAGTAGGTGGCTAGGAGGCAGAGACAGGCTGCAGGCTGAGAGGTCAGGCTCTGCCTCACCCAGCACTCACCTGCTGAGCCATCTTGAGCACTTCACCAATCCTTTCTAAGTCCTCTGAAGAAAGGGGCTCAGGACCCAGCCATGGGACACAGTTGAAGATGTCTTGCCTCAACCCCTCGTGAGTTTTGCCCCAAGCACCCAGAGTCTGGGGCTGGCATTCTGGGGTCTTCTATGAGGGAACTGGCAGCAATGGTTGCTCTGTGCTTGTTACGAGCTATTTGTCAGGAATGATGACACAGGAAATGCAGAGGAAGGTTCTCGGGGCCCTCACAGTCTCTCTCTCCCACACACCCACCCACAGCTTCACACACATGGCTCTGCATACACAAGAATGCACACCCACTGTGCACATAGAAGCTCAGCTGCGGCCCATACTAGGATGCCTGGCACAGTTGCAAGGTCCCTCTGGCCCTACCCGGGCACAGCTTCAAAAATGGACGCACCCACTGAAGACTGGGCCCAGCTGGAAGCAGCCACAAGATTGTGTTGTGTGTCGGGGACCCACCACACGACACACACTTTTGAACACACACAGCATGCATAGGCCCTGCCACTGATTTTTTTAGGAAAAGGTTCACACTTGGCCTTGAGACCTGCTTTGTTTCTTTGGACAACACACACTCTGGTTGTATGAATTCTGGGGAGCCTCAGACTCTTTGTCTGGACAATGGAACAGTCTATGTCCCAGCCTCCCAGGCTTGATGGCTGTCATGGGTGGAGGGGCTGAGATGGACAGCAGGCACAGTGGCTGGCAGTTACCTCAGAGGCCTGTGTATGTGTGTATGCATGAGAGCACAGGACTGCTGCATGCCAAAACCCCATCTTTATTTGCAAAGCCCACTCCCAGTTTTCCTAGCTCTGTTCCATTCCACTGAGTCCTGACCCCCTGTGCTGCTGTCACCCTTGACTGACATTTGTCTCTGACCCTTTCCCACAGGGTCACTAGCACATCTGTGGAGTCCTCACGAGCCCCTGGTTGTTTTGTGAGGCATAGGTCTTGTAGGGCACAGAACCATGTTGCGTGCATCTTCACAGTGGTGTGTGCCCTGTACCTGAGGGAAAATGGTTCCCTCTCAGAAGCTTAGAGCAGACAGAGCCGTGGTGTTCTGCTACAGCTTCTGTGTGTGTCCAAGGAATTCAGCCCCACTGTTACTGGATCAACTTTGTGTCCCCTTGAAACTCAGTCCCTCCCAATATCGGTCATCCCGACTTTTCTTTGTGGCAGTGAATATCAAGGGGTTATGAAGTTAAGCCCTCTGCTTCCTCTCATGGATGCTATAGAAGACCAGTCTGACCCTCCAGAGACAGTGGAGGCTCTATATGGGGCTGCGCACCTGTGGCAGCAGCACTGTTCTGATGTGGGTAGATGGGGAGAAAAGCCAGGCAGAGAGCAGACGGTGTGTGTTCATGGTCACCACAGGCTAGGAACAGTCATACCGAGGGCCCTGCCCAGCTTAGGGTGTCTTCTTAGAGGCCAGGATCTTTTTCCCCAGTCACTCTCTTTAGAGGCACACAGTAGAGGGTAGAGGTAGGATGGCATGGGTGAATCTGGCCTAGCCTGTGTCCTCCTGGACAGACATGTTTACCAGAACCCCCACCAGGCACTGAGAGCAGATATGACTGATGGGAAGCAAGCTGCCCTTAAGCTGTATGAAGTAGGGCTGCAGATCTTAATTCATTTTTCTTAAGAGTTCACGGATGTTGGAAGAGATTAAATGGTTCAGCAGTTCACCCAGGGACTGGGGCCCCATGAGGGCTCTAACCTGGAGTACCTTCACCTGTCACTCGAACACCCTGGGTAGTTCCCAGGGACCCTGCAGACTGAGAAGCTAAGACACCCCCTACCACCGCCCCCCAACATGTACTCCTTGGATGAGCTCCAGAGCCTCAATTCCTCAGTCCAAACACGTTCATGTGTTTCCTTTAAGGAAGACTCCACTGGTGTGGCCACACTGGAGGTTTTGTGTGCATGTGAAATGCCACCCTGTGTGCAGATGAGTCTGCTCCTCAGGCTCTGGGTACATGGAACAATGGGTACCATTCAGGGCCTCTCCATCGTGTGCTCAGCCAGGTCTTGATCATTGGGTGCCTATGACAGCCAGGCAGTCCAGACACTGTGCCCTTGTTGTTGGGGTTTTTCCATTCAGTTGGAGTAAGATCAGGGAGACAGGTGTCTGGGATAGCTGAAAGTAGAGATCAAGGTCCAGCACAGAGTCTCCAAGACTTGGGCGAATTGGAACTTAAACACAGAGTAGGCAAGGCTCAGAGATCTCAAAGCATGAGGGCTGGCTGTGCCCTGGGAGTGGCTACCCAAGATGGAGTTGGGAGGTGGGCAGCAGAGGCCTCTAAGATGAGTGGGCCCAGAGGGTTGGGAAGGGCAAGCAGCTTGATCTCACCCCACCTAAAAGCACCCATCCTCAGAAACCAGAAACGTGAGCACCTCTCCTCAGTTACTTGAGACTCTGACTTGCTTGGTGCCTTCAGCCTCTATGGAGGAGCCTATATTCCTGGTAGGATGCCTTGCTGGGGTGAGGGTGGGGGATGGAGGGAGGAGGCATGGCTTCAAATGTGGCTGCAGCCACTAACTAGACAGACCTGCTTCTCAAGTCTGTCTCCCTATAGGAGGCCTGTGAGACTTGGATTTCTTCAATTATCAAACTAGAATAATAAAATCCTCCCCATATGACCCAAGGTGACATCTGCCTACCTTAAGCAGAAAGCCAATGTCAATTAGTCCTTGGGAAAGTTACAGAAACTCTGCAAGAGCAAGGAACTGGAATGTAACAAAGCCCCGGTCCCAGCTGCCACCGTGGGAAATGCCTCTCATCCTGGGCAGCCACGTCCTTCTGTGTGACACAGCACAACCATTCATAGAACCAGGGACACACTCCCATCCCTCCCTGGAAGTGGAGACCCACAAGCTTATTGACCATTCTCAGCTCAGATTCAAGGGAGGACAGGCACACACCTGGGGCTGTGGCATGAATTGGCAGTCTTTAACCCACTCCAGAGTCCCTGTCAGAGCAAACTAAGCCTTCACTCCTTAGAGCCCCATGCCACACCCTCTGTTGGCCTGCCCAGGGGGCTACTGTGAGCCCCATGATTAGTGTTACTAAGTTGCCAAGAGGAGACACTGAGTTAAGACATGGTTCTCCCAGCTATTTTCTGTGTAGCTGCCTCCCAGAATCACTACCATTCACCTGGCTCTCTCTCTAAGTGACAGAAAGAGCTCAAAAAGGAGCCAGGTGACTATTCTAGCCTCCAGGGCTGGAGCCCCATGGGTGTCTCACCTTTGGGGATGCCTTCTTCCTCTGGAATCTTAAATTCTCTAATCTGAAGTCCAAAGTATTAGAGACAGGGAAAGTGCTGAGTGGGTGGGGTGGCTTGAGGGACTGCCTCCTGGCTTTACCTGGTCCCTGGGCCTTCTTCTGCCTAGAGAGTTAGAACATGTTTAGGAGTTATGCCCGGTATGCCCCAGGATCGTGCCTGAATTTTGTGGCTGCTTCCAGCTGGGCCCAGTCTTCAGTGGGTGCGTCCATTTTTGAAGCTGTGCCAGGGTGGGGCCAGAGGAAGAATAGCAGGATGTGGAGCAAGCCCTTCAGTCAGTGACAGTGATGTGCATATGTGGTGTGTGCAGCAGTCTGGTGTCAGCAGCCAGTCAATTCAGGTAAAGATAAAGAAAGAGGGGTCCCTTGACTGCCTCCAAGGGATGCAGCTGAGCTGGGCTGCCCCTGCCACCTGCTGGCCAACTTGACACATAACACCAGCTGCAGCCACAGTAGCCAGGAAAGGGAAGCTCTTGAATCCCAAGTAATGTAAATGAAGTGGTATAAACTGTGCTTTGTTTATGAGCAAGTCCCATAGTGGCTAGGAAGAGAGGTCACCTGCATCCAGGACTGTCAGGTACCTGCTTAACCCTGGCACCCTTTCAAGAACACTTGGAAAGGATTCAGCCCCTGATGGGTCCTTTTCCAATCATGTCCCCTTCACCTCCCTTACACCTGACCCAGTGGTTAACCATTAGTCAGAATCAATGTGGACTGGCCCCTCAGGTCACCTCTCCTTCCAAGTGGCATAGCAAGCCTCTGTACACAATGTTCTCCCTACCAGGAAGATGCCCGGCTCTACTGTCCTTGCTCTGAAGGGCCTCACTTTTTGGTACCACCTTTCTCACAGCTCTGCCTGTCAATCACATGTGATTTCCCTCCTTAAATAGTCTAAGAGATTCTGTGAGGCCTCAGTATGGTTGAGATGGAGAACAAGGCAGCAGCATACATGGTGATGGGGAGAACTGCACACACAGTCTCTAAGGACTGGGGTCAGAGGTGGATGGCCAGTTCCTGGGGGCTGGGGAGCAGCTCACGGCTCACAGCACCCACAGTCTTCATTTCACCTCCACAACAGCCCAGTAGCCAGTAATTAGCCATATGCGAGAGAAAGAGAAAATTTTGTCAAAGGAGCATGGTTTTGTTGGAAAACCAAGAACATACAGTTCTTTTGTTGGGACCTGCCTGGACCCCACAATTTGCCTTAGGCACATCGAGAGTCACTGAGTATGCTGGGTCATTAGGTCCAAGGGCCAAGCTGCCTGCCTCAGGCCCGGGCCTGCAACATAGCCTCTGTTTGGGTTCAGTAAACAGCTTGGAGTAGTGCTCATGACCAGGTATACAAGGACAGTGCCACCAAACACTGTGCCTTCTTTGCCTGTTAGAATTGCAACATATAACAGTT